AATGCTGCCAAAGCCATTTCACTTCTCTTCACAGTCAACAGTAAGTCTCTAACCTCTGTAATTCTGTAATCCACAGTCGTTTTTTTTGTATCTCTCATTGTAATTCCAAAATTTAATAAGTCCACGCTTCTCTGTGCACTTTTGAGTTTTGGTTAAATTGTTTTGTCATTGTCAACGTTTCTGATCTATATGTCCTGGTAGATAGGACGCACCGATTAAAGACGTTAGATACATCAAAATTGTACTGCATTGTAACAGGAGCAATGCAGAACACATCAAGCAGCAGCTACGGCACTGTAGCTCGGCTCTGAGGCTCCACCTGTCTTGGAATTTATAATTTGGTTTGAAACAGCACCAGCTGGATGTGTCTTTGTAAAGCATCCCAAGACGTGTGATCTCCACTGTTTAGTGTGGGCCTAAAAATCTCGAATCCAGCAAACAGATTGCGTCGGTAACTGATGTTACATTTAAGTTTCAGGGTTCTGTGTGGAGTTACTCTGCAGGTTAATGGAGCTGTTGTCTACACCACTGATGGGGGTCACCAATCTAATTTAGAATACCGTGTACACTGTGTATACTGTTCATGCTATATATATATTATATGTTTCACCTCGTTGACAATCTATTGATGGAAGCTGTGTTGGTTATTGGGGGTTATTTGATCATACTGCTGGTCAGTATTGGTCTGGGAAGTGGAAGGGTGCAGGACTGGTGCAGAAAATATACATGCACAGCTGTGGTTAGCCACGAGTAGGATTCAAGAGAGAACCACCAGGTTCATAGCGTAGTGCGCTAATGACTGCACCACTACTCCATATAAACTCATTATACACTTGGTGTGCTTTTGGAAAATTACATTACATACTGAAAAGCAGAATATCAATTTTCCTAAAGAAGACATTTGTCAATGAGTGCATATTGATTTGCAATATGGACCTGACAATCTAAAAAGTTCTCGAAGAGGTATTGAAAGGTGCATGCTGGGAATTGCACAGAGAAAGAAATTGGAACAGTCGGATCAAGAACAAGTATTAGAGACACCGGATTGGCAGCTGAGTAAACAGGCGTTGGCAGGACACACGCATCACTCGCAGGGATTATGCCCAATAGTCGAGAATCTCTACAGAATGACAGCTGAAGGAGTGAATTAGCTTGAGAGGAACGCCCACCATGGAGATGGAGCGATAAGTTCAGCTCATGCGCACGAGAGAGAGACAGACGGATTGTGGCATCACAAAAGCACGAGGGATGTCAATGACGTGGGGAGGCTTTAAGCCAGCAGTGGATAAATGACTAAAGATGCAGATTATAGTCATCTAAACCAACTCCCATCATTATTGAAGAATTTATATACGTCGCGTCTACGTGATCACAACTAGATCATTGGAGACCGAGCAGCTGATTATATTACTCAAATATTATATAACTACTGTATATCATGTTATGGGCTAATTGTCGACCAGTAAACTCGTAAACAATTTTGCTTTTACATTTTGCTTCGTAAACCTCTTCCTCATCATCAGCAGCAGCATCAGCAGCAGCATCATCATCATCAGTCCCTTAACCATGGAAGTCGTGGGCGCACGAGCGATTACTTTTTTGGCAGCCAAGCTCTCTCTCTCTCCCACATCTCACGGCCTCTTGACACGCGCACGAAGCGTGGCTCCGATATTCCCTTGACACGAGGCTCGTCATCCGGCATGGTCCGTGGCCAGCCTCCTCTCTTCCTCGTCGTTCCTTCCAGCCGTAGTGGTAGTGGTGGTGGTGGGGGCTGCAGATTGGTGCTTTAAATGCCCCCCCCCTCGCCTGTTTCTGAGTGATATTCTATATATTCGACGCAGGTGGGGGGGGAGTGTTCAGTTATTTTCGGATTAGAATTGTGAGCGATGCGCCGTCGGGAATGAGGAGGTTCCGTCTCTCTCGCTCCTCGTGGCTCCGAGATTCGCGTGGCCACCGTGAGCTCAGTCGGTCCCCAATCTCCCCCCCCCCCCGCTTCCATTTGCCCAACCCATTCCCTCCCGTGGCAGGGGGGGAGGTCGTTTTTTTAATTGTACTTTGTGTTGTTGTTACAATGTTTACCATAAGGACCAGGTTATGTTACACTGTTGCAAGTACTAAACAGCATACCTGTCAACGCATACGGTCTACCCGTATTCTTGTGCAGGGAAATTTGAGTTTTCAAGTCCATACGGCGTGCAGCCGTTTCAACACGGGCACAAAACATGTTTTTGTCTATTTGTGTTTCTCTCCTTGTGATGATGGGACTTTGTAGGATGAACGTTGAGATTTATAATGCCACGGGGTGACCAATAAAGCCTGAATGAGTCTGTAATAAGGCAGGCACTGACTATGGGTTGACAGGTATGGAACAGTGATGATGATGATGGAGTTGACCCAAGCTGGGCACACCCGATGTTGGACCGCTCACGCCGTTTCTGGCGTCTTGGAGTCCGCGATGTTTGAGGACCGTGTGTTTACAAATGCCTTAATTCTAGATTTGAAGCTTTCGTGACTGCAAGGATTCATATTCTTAGGTTTTTTCGGTAAAGCCACGTAGGTAAAAAATTAAAATTAATAAAAGTAAAATAAAAATAAAATAAAAATCACGACGTTTCGGAGGCAACACTGTGGTCGATTCCACGGTGACTCACTTGATACAGCTATCGTGCTGTGACGGTCCCACCTGAAGACGGAAGCTTGTGTTGCCTCCGAAACGTCGTGATTATTTTTTATTTAACTTTTATTAATTTAAAATTTTTCCTACGTTACTTTACCTAAAAAACCTAAGAATAAAAAGGCCTTTGCCGCCCGAGGGTGAACGCGCTCACCAGTCCATGAAAGGGACGACCCAGGTTTGGGCCGGCACTGGCTTTGCTTTTGTTGCAACTGCTGTGGGGGAAATGCAGGCCGAGCTCCCATTTCCCCCAACTCACAAAAGCGCGCTTTGTGGGGGGCGGGGGGGAGTGTTGCTTGCTTCCATTCGCGGTGGTTTTGGGGGACGCGGTTTGGATTCACGGCTTTCCCGGTGAGGCTTAGTGGTGAAGATGTAAACATTTCCCGGGGTCGCAGCCAAGGAAATGACTCTTGCATAGGACAACCGCTCTCGCTCGTTAGTAACTCGGTTTAGCGACCCTGGTGAGATGATAAAAAAGCCGTGGAGTCGACCACGGTCTGGGATTTGAACTCGCGAAGCGCTGTGTGTGCTTGTGAGGCAAGTGTTTTAGCCACGGTGCCAATCGGCTGCGGTGTATTCGTGCTGTTGAGTAAAGGGTGTTCAATTTATAACTGTACCAAATGATGGCACTAACCATTGTGTTCAAGTAATTTCAAGCATTTTCTTCAAAATTTTAAACCGCATTATCCATTCTGCCATTATCTGCATATTGTGCCAACAGATGCATGGATTATGGCGCAAGATTGAACAAGTACAGTGTCGCCTGAGATGTTGGCCACGTAAATTCCGTGATGCCGTTCACTTCTTTCAGACCGGTCCATTATGCATGACTTGAGAAACGTCTTTTACGCTTTAGAAATCAAGCATCGATGGCGCCAATTGCTCCGATTATTGTTCATAACTCAGTCTCACGTTTTTGTTTAGTCCGTGATCTTTGGCCATGTTGTAGTGTTTGTGGCTGCTAGTGTTTACACAATTCGCTCGGCAGAGTGGCTGTGCTGCTGATACTGTGGGGGAGGAATACAATTCTACGTGACGTAATTGGCAAGACTCAATCTCTGTTAAATCAGTACCAGTTGATCAAGTCTCCGAGAATAAATAAAATTTATCAGCCTCCTACACGCTGCCATTCTGTGGTGAATGCGGTATTTTCCCATGCCGTATTGTTGTAAGAGTCTATTTCTCCTGGAACATACTGTCATCAATGCTGATTCATAATTCAAAGTTTTACTTTTCTGAGTAGGTTTTTATAGATACACAGTCTCACTCTTTAATCCCTGTGAATAAAGAGTGTTATTCTTCAAATGATGTAAAAAAAATTCGCCAAACGTAAGAAGCTGCTATGATTGTTGTCCTCAAAGTATACATGTAGTGAAGCAAGTTTGGTGTGGAATATGATTGGCGTTGATGGATCGAATAAATATGGAACCTACATGAAACATCCATCTGAAATAGCTTTAAGAGGCAGTAGAGCAAATTGATGTCTGACCTATTCATACATCGCATTGTGCCAATCGTATTTTAGTGAGTTCTTTTCAGGAATACTTTTGATTATTACATAATTTGTTTGGTACTGTATAGATACTATTAGGTAACTATTCATATGCCCTTTTCAAAAGTTGTCATCAGAAAACGTAATTCTCATGAAAATGTAATTCTCGTGAGGTGCCATGGTGTTACGTGCTGTCTCCAACACGTATTCATGCGATCTCTCTGTGACCTCTTTACATGCCCTGAAGAAGGGCCATTGGACAAAACGCAGTGAATTATATACCCTGACGTCACAATGTTGTCGAGGAGTGTGCGTTTTCCATCCGTACAAATGTCGATTATTGTGACCCCATTCGTACGCGTGGCTTTTCGCAAGCTGCCTGGGGTCCCTTTCACGTGCAAATCAAAAAAATAACTTCACCAGGGAACTCGGAGACCATTTACGGAGCAGAACCCGTCCCAAAAAAAGAACCTCGATGCTCCATACATTCCCGAGTAAAAGAAAACCACCACGAGGGCAACTGGGGGTGGTTTGACCTCACTTCACCACTCTTGTCAGTGGATGGTGAACAGAATACAAACCGAATTATTACATCGGCTGCGTCAGACGGTGGTGGCGGGTTAACGACACATTTGCAGTCACGTGATCTCACCCAAAAGAACCTTCATTGCGAAATCTACTTTGATGTTCGCTGGACGCGAGCGCGAAGATTAAAATTCACTTGCCACGGGCGCGCACCGCACCGTCCGTCCTCGCCGACGTCCCACACGTTCCCTCGCTCTGCCTCCCCCCCCCCGTCTCTCTCTGTGTGCGTGCTCGCGACCCCTCGCCTAGGCCGCTCCATCCCCGTGTTCTGCATCGTGGAGCAGGGCGAGAGTCCCATGGACCTGGACGGCAAGGAGGAGCACGCTGACTTCGTGCTGCTGCGACGCGACGTGCTCTTCAACCAGCTGGTGGAGACGGCGCTGCTCTCGCTGGGATACTCGCACAGCTCGGCCGCTCAGGCGAGAGGTAACTACGAGAGAGAGAGCTGCTCAGCTTGCTTAGCAGAGTGAGCGGTAACTCAGCTGCTCCGACAGAGAGAGAACTTCTCAGCTACCCTAGCAGAGTGAGCGGTAACTCAGCTGCTCCGACAGAGAGAGCCACTCAGCTACCCTCGCAGAGTGAGCGGTAACTCAGCTGCTCCGACAGAGAGAACCACTCAGCTACCCTAGCAGAGTGAGCGGTAACTCAGCTGCTCCGACAGAGAGAACCACTCAGCTACCCTAGCAGAGTGAGCAGGTAACTCAGCTGCTCCGACAGAGAGAACCACTCAGCTACCCTCGCAGAGTGAGCGGTAACTCAGCTGCTCCGACAGAGAGAACCACTCAACTACCCTCGCAGAGTGAGCGGTAACTCAGCTGCTCCGACAGAGAGAGCAGAGCCAGAGGTGGCCCATGAAGCCTCACAAGAGAGATGTAACCCACGCAGAAGAGAAGTACCCAACTACCTACCACTGAATCTCCTCCTGAGCCTGCTTGTCTCTGTGAAGCAAAGCACAGTTCTGTAAAGGACACACTGATGAGGTTTTCCTGAAGAAGGTCAGTTGGCTGAAACGTCATTTCATCTGAGTGACGGTTAAAAAATCCCCCTGTTATTTTATTCACACGGATCTATTGATGTGTTCACGAGGAGTTGAGTTCACGATAGTTAACACATTGTTCTCTATGGATGCCTCATTAAGAGTCCTTGCTAATGATGCTGATTGACTTATTTTAGAACAGTTCTTTTCCTCCTTGTAGGTTAAAAAAAATGTAAATTGTAATTTAGCAGCTGAAACCTTCACTGTTCCACCACTCAGCCATCAGCACCGCACATTGTGGTGATGTTCCAGAGTAAGCCTGCATGCCAAGCCTTCACAACAATTCAGCTGAAAGTTAAAGCTAATTTCTCCTGGTGTTCATGACTGCCAAAATTAAGCCTCAGCTCTTTGCAACACTTATTGGAAGGTGATGTAGCCTTTGCCTTAAAATGTTTTTCGACGTCTGTCTTATGAGTTTGGAGTCACATAGCTTGACGCTATGTCTGATGGAGGCATTGGTAATTATACGTATTGAACTATTAGCTGTGATTAATCATTGCAGGCATACTCATTATGCGGAGTACTTGCCAAAGACTCAACACATATTCCAGAACTATGACAAAGGTCAGCATGTTTAGCTGCTTTGGTAATGTTATGGAGTGAGTTAAGTGTGCCATCCATAACAATTTCTGTTACCAGTTTTGCATGGTCATCGTTGAGTAGTATATGTTCATTCACAGCCCTGCTGAATTCACTCGTGCTGGGTATGAAAAGCTGGACCGTGCATGTGACAAACCCCCCAGGATAATGCAATTCTTTGGCCTGAGAGCCAGGTTGTATGGCCACACCTGTCAACATACGGCATTGGTGATAAATAATGCATCGAGTTAAATTCTGCGGCAGCCTAATTGGTGCATAAGAAATTAAAGGGAAAGCAGTGCGTGGATGAACATTATACATTTTATTTAGTTGCCTTTGCGCTGTTTTTCTGTATTGCTAAGCGGCGTCTTCTCACGTAGCCGGTTATGTCCGAAAAAATGTACGGTTGGGTCTGTGAGCATTTAATAATGCAACGTTAAGTTTGGTTGTGGATTTAAGTGCATTACAGTAGTTTGTATTCCAGTATTAAACAATTATATTTCCACACATCATTTACCATGAATCAGTGTATATGTTATGAGGTATGATGATAATATAATCATTGTCACAGCAATGCTCTTACAAACCAAGGCCGAAATAAAATAAAATGAACATTTTAGAAACAATGAAAACCATTTACAAAAGAGCCACGCTGCAATTAAATTAAGAAAGTACAAAATGCATATTAAAATGGGAGTCAGTAGAGGCGAAGTGCTTTCCACAAAGTATACACGTATAATGATTTCGATTTAAAGCTTTCGTGACTGCAGGGATTCATCTTCTTGGTTCTTTCGGTAAAGTCACGTAGAATGGAAATAATAAAATAATAAAAATAAAACATAATAAAATAATTCTCACGACGTTTCGGCCACAACGTCTCCTCGACAGACCTGTTCTCCACCTGAGGACGGCTGCTTGCGTTGTGGCCGAAACGTCGTGAGAATTATTTTATTATGTTTTGTTTTTATTATTTTATTATTTCCATTCTACGTGACTTTACCGAAAGAACCAAGAAGATGAATCCCTGCAGTCACGACAGCTTTAAATCGAAATTTGACGCAATTACGTCTCCTCACACTTCGTGGCCGCTATGCCGCCCGTAGGCCTCCTGAAGCTGGGAAACTGGAACCCGGTGCCACTGAAGAGTATCACCGACTCCCCCGAGGCCACCATCGGCGAGATGCTGCAGGACGTGTTCCACACAGCGACGCTCCGCATCTTCCTGCACAGGTTGGCACGCGGCCACCCACTTTACGCGTCAACGGGTACCAAAGTGGGCTGTGTCAGTCAGTACTCCTGTAAGCACTTTGTCACTCTGATAAATCGATGTGTTGAAAACTATAGAAATCCAGGTCTGATGTGTGGATGAATGGAAATGACTCCTTTATCTGAGGCAGGTGCCGATTCTTTACACTGATAGGAACAGAACATTGGCAGTTGGTGCAATCCACTCGACTTCTGGGGGCACTACCTCCTGAAGCTCATAGCAGTTTTAACGAAATGTCATCATATGTTGGTGTTAAAATTCAGTCAAGGAAATTCTAACGCCACCGGTGAGGAACTTTGTCGGTCGTAATTTGATCAACATATTGGAACGTTGAAATAATATCAGTGTAAATGTGCCAATCTTGTCGGGTGGTGTAGGATTAATGGCAAGGATTTTTACGTAAAGCTACCACGTGAGCATATACAAAAGCAAATATGGATGGTGCATAGTTCTGCCTACGAAAACCTACCCTTTAAGTTAACACTTACTTTTTAGGTCATGCTGGCTCGTAAGTCAGGACCTTTCGGCATTGTCAGAGCGGCGAATAGTTGACCTGTTTAACCATGAAGCAGATATGGAGAGACAAAGCGTTGGGAATCCTGTGCACATGTTACTTATTACTATTCAAATTTCACTTCTTTCCACCCACCATAAAGATAATAGCGTAATCTCTACAAGAGGCTTGTTTACATGAGATATGGAAATTATTAAGTGCGAGGTCGCAGCTTGTCAAATCCACAGAACTGGAGCCGGCGTTAATTTGGGTAGAGAGTTAAATTCGTTCTATAATCGTCATGAAAATGCCACTCAACAATAGCTTTGGGCATCATTTCGAAAGTCGAACAGAAAATTGAAATGTAGGCAGCGATAATAAGTATACCGCTGGATATATTTCATTGGCCAGGGAGAGACTGGATGTATTTTACTAAATGTGTGCTTTATGATGGCCAGTGGTGCTTACATGAAGATGGCAGACCTCAAGCTGCTGGGATGTGCTAACAGGTAATGAGGAGGATGGGTGCCAGGGTGGAGACCAATCTGTTGTCATCGGATTGCCTTTTCCATTAACCCCTTCATGTGCACATTCTTTTCATTTCGCAAACTGCGTCGTGCATTCGAACATTCGTTTCTTTTCATATCAGCCTAGTTACGGCACAATTGCCAGAGTATATCAGCAGGTTGTGTGTGGTCGGGTAAATAAAATCCGCTGTTTACAGAAAAGATTTGTTCAACAGGGCCTGGTATTATTGTATAATATGTACGTTGAAGAACGATTGTGGTGTGGCGGCGTGGTGATTAGCGCACAACGCTGTGAACCCGGTGGCCCAAGTTCGATTCCTGGCCACAGTTAAGGTGGTGAATGACATCTGAACTGGTGCTGGGGCCTTCACAACCCGCACCGACCGACCGGCGTGGTGATATTTTTGTCAAACAGTCTCATAACTGGCGTTTTGTGTGAGAAGGCCTTTATTTCAAATTTTCAAGTTTCTTTTGTTTAACCAGATGAGGATAACTCAAGAGACCAGAATAAAGTTCTCAATTTGCAAGAGTGACCCGGGTCACCAAAATGACTAAGTAAAAACATGAATTAAAATACAGCAATGATGCAAATAGAAATGAGTGCAAAAACAACGGTGTCACCTGATACATCGAAAATAGTGCACAAACTAAAAATACGTCAAATAATAAATCCCCTAAAGTGCAAAACCGGCTTGGCAGATTACTTGTCAACCTATCGTTGTACAATTGTGTTACAGAAACATGAAATGGATACAGGTAACTATTGTCTTAACATCTAAACGGACAAGGATATATGTCAAATGCAAAAAGAAAGTAGAGCAATTGATTATTATTTATTTTAACACACGCTATTACATTGAAGAATGACCGCACAAATAAAACATGCGCAGGTTCATGGCCACAATTTAAAACCTTTCAAGGGCATCTGGCAGATTTGGAGTCACTATGACCATATCGACAAATGTGGCTGATAGAAAACGGTTGGGTTGATCCCTTTTGAAACTAGAAAATCATACAATACAACTCCTATATCTGTTCACTTAAAACAATAAAAGTATTTTTTTTTACGCAACCATTGGCTCCTACAGCTGTCTGGGAGTGCATAATTTCATCAGCATTATACGTATGTATGTTGAGCTTCTTTCACACCGTACGTAGCCAACCGTGCTAATCGGAGGTGCGGGGAAGGACAACAAACTAAACACAAAAAGTAGTTTCAAAGGAATTAGTTTTCACTCGAGATGATTTAAAAGTGCATAACTCCAGTGGCTTCCTAATATCGGAAGGACGAGCGTTCCAGATGGCCGCAGAAGCGCATCTGAAAGAGTGTGGTGCAGTGACCGTCTTTGTTCGATGGCTACCCAAAAGTTGCTGCGAGGATGACCGGAATTGGCGTGATGGTTTATGCTTCTTGGCGAGATCAGCAAGAAATTGTGGTTCATTTGTGGCAAGAACTCTCTGTGTAAAGAGTGCTACTTTACAAGACATTGATTCATCACAGTAGAGTACAAGCAAACTCTGGACCGGCATATGACACACAGGTTCTCATCAGCAAAGTCGTGCTTGCTTGAATCAATGCTGGGAAAATGTCAGATGTTATAGGCAGGGTGGCTCTGTTTAAGATATGTGTTCTAGTTCGACGAAAACTTTGAGTTTTTACACGTAGTTGACTTCCACGATCAATGTTATTCATAACTAGCTTTTTTGCCCGTCCTAGGATGGAAGCTGTAATATTTACGAAAAAATGTAGCAGAGATTAATAATCTTGTGTAAATTTAATGGCAGTGAATCTTGCACGAAAGTATGTCATCAAACACTTCACTGCATTTCACTGTAGCACTGTATTAATGACATTGATTCTTGCACAAAACTACGTCATAAAACACCTTACTTCATGTCACTGTAGCACTGTATATAACTGACCTTCAAATTGTTCAAATTCACTGCTCTGATACTCTATTCTCTTTTGCTTTCCGTTGTCGGAGTTGAAATAAATTGGAAATCGATGCAATATCTGGAAAATCACCGATAAATATCTATTTTACCATAATGTAGAAGCAAAATTAGACTTACCTTTTATCTCAAGTGCTGAAGAAATAAATAAAAGCACCAAATCCACTTTATTGCTGCGTAGAATTATTTATTAGATTAACTTTCAATAAAGAAACGTCAAACTTAAGCGAATTGCGAAAAATAATGTTTCCGCTCGACCTTCTTCTGCGTGAGTGTAAAAATCCTCCCGCTCATGAATATTCATGACGGGGGGGGGGGGGAGGAGCGGAATGTGGAGTGACGTCACGAGCGTTACACACAAACAGACTTGCTTGGCTCATTATAGTAATAATAAAGGTGTCTGGGTTAGATCACGTAAATATAAATACGTCGTTAACCCACCACCACCGACACGGCCAATTAGTAAGGTTTGTCATGTAAATAACAACAAATTGTAAATGTTGTGGGTTTACTCTTCAACACACCAGTGTGCTGATGCAGTAACAAATTAGCACGTTTGTTTTCGTGACAAACCTTACTAATTGTCAGGTGGTGGTGGGCTCACGACACATTTATATTTCTACGTGATCTAACCCTAAAACCCTTATTGTGAGCAAGTTTTGAGAATCACGCAAAATAATAATTCGTGTCATTGTGGCGAATATAAGTAATAAAATAGTTACACGTAGATTTTTATATTTTGTTACTTTATATCTCGAGACCGACCCTCGTGATTACATCCTTTTGAAACTGTGCTAACATTGTGGTACGTCACACACTGCCGTGCTTTTCATGCTCTTGCTAAGGTTAAGCATGCCGGCGTAAGCCTTGATCCAAGCCAGCACCTAAGCCAAGTGTTGAACCAATAACTGTTGAAGCAGAAAACCGCAACTTAATTGGAGCTGGGATGTAGCGATAATCATAGGCTACACCCTGGGGTGCTGTATTTGATTCCTTATTTCACCTGAAGACAGTTCTTGTTGGTTTCTGACGCTAATACAAAGTAACTGTAATGTCTGCACACGCACGTAGCATAAATCATTCAAAGCAGACTAAATTATTCCTCTGCATTCTTTTGCGCGTCATTCATTGAGTATTTTAGAGATCGGTGTTACAATACTATGCGAATCAGCCTTTTTAAACACATGCTGTCCGATGATCAGATGTTATTGGCAAGTGCATTTCATGTAAGCTATGGAAAGAAAAGCATCTGGCAGCTGAGCAGCATGTGTTTGACAAGCCTGACTCTGCTGATGAGATGCATAAGGTCAAAACGGGTCCGGTCTGCTTGCTTAAACAAGTGCTGCTTGATAATATGGGATTCGTGTGGAAAGCCACTAGGCGGATGGACATTTATACGTGGAGACGCACAATAGAGTTGTGCTCACATATGCGATCACCCGCGGCGATGTCCCACGGCAATGCAAACTTGAGTTCATTCAACTGTGTGGACCATTACGGACACTTTGCTTAAAGCACCGGCTCCCGTTGCTTTCCGTCTTTGGCGACGCTGCATTGGCTAGTGGTGCACAAGCATGAACAACAAAAAACCCCAAATATTTTGCCACAAGGGCTGTGGCCTTCAAATGAGAAATCACATAACAGGCGACGTTTTGTGCAGGGGCCCTTCATGGCACAAACAGCACACGTGTGTTACGATTAAGAGCCATCACCCCAAAAACGTTGTCCAGTATATATCTGTTTTCCACTTAAGGCAGCGCTATTGCCGAATACGTCAGGTGGACGCTGGTCATTGTTGTACGAGTGTGCATGTGTAGTGGTGATACGCGCTGACAGTGGGGATCGTGGGGCAGCGCGTGGTGATTGGCTGTGTGCCGGTGACGCGCGCTGACAGGGAGTGATCGTGTGGCAGCGCGGGGCGATTGGTTGTGTAGTGGTAACACGCGCTGGGAAAACGGATCGTAGGAACAGCGCGCCGTGATTGGTCGACTAGTGGGTGCTCACATCGCGGTCCGCAAGAGGGCTATATAAGGCGGTGCGCACGGGCGCTCGGGGAATTGGTGACCTGCGAAGACTGAAGACGGCGGAGGAAGAGATAGGGCCTTGCGGCACCAAGTCCCGCTGTCCTTGTAAGGGCCGGGGCTCTGTGTGACCCAGAGGCGGGACCCTGGGACCCGGGGCCGAACGTCCGTGTGAGGGCCGGCTCTCGGGACCCAGAGGTTGTGACCCACGCCCAAGCTGGGGTGGGTCTGTAGGCTCCACGGACGTTACGGGGCTGGAGTGTAGTGTGAGCATGCAGTGTGAGCATGCAGCGTGAGCCATACATAGTCACTACACGTGTCAGTGGAGTGTGTAGTGGGAGAGGTAGTGACCACACGTGTCAGTGAAGTGTGTGTAGTGTGAGGAAGAGTGACCACACGTTGTATCGTGACAAGTCAAGGTTTAATAAAAAGTGTGCTACCCGTCAAGAGGTTTCCTGCCGTCATTCCGATACTTCAACTACTTCACATGTAGTATGGAATGCGCATCCAACGACGAATGTTATACACTACAAATGGGGAAAGTATTCTCAGAATATGGTGAGCCGCTCGTTTTGAAAAGCAGATGGAACAGAACCGTTCTTTCATTCATTATAGGGCATCACAGTGGTGAGATGTTAACATATCACCTGGTATGCAGGAGGTCCTGGGTTCGATCCCAACCCTGATGCCTGTATAGTGGGAGTTTGCGTGTCTCTCTTACCGTGGTGGCGTGGATTTTTCTCCGGGTCCTCCAGTTTTTCCCTCCACATTTAGAATCAACGCTCCTTCAGAGTATTTGCCTGCTATACATTTCCACACGATGATGAGCCACTTCGTTGAGCTGTCATTTTGTGACCAAGTCGCTTCTGAAAAAGAGCTCAGTGTGCCTTACCTAGTAATGTATATTTTAAATCGTTAGTTACAGTCACCTAGTTCGCCACTATATAAGGGTAACAAGCCCCAACGGACTCATCGTCCATTTAAAGGACGTCAATTAATAATGACAGTACCGGGCCTGTTTATTTATATACCGTGGGATGTACAAATTAAACATTTTGATCGTGTTTTCCGATTTAAAAAAGTACACCATTTCATTTTAAAGTCTTATTGGAAGGCATATCGTAGTTTTAATATGAGGGCACTTACCAAGGAAAATCATTCAAGTGAGAATATTGGTATACATTTAAACGCATACATCCTCATTGTCTATACTTGGAAGATAAGTACATAGATGGATACTTGCGTGTCACATGCCAGGTTGAAATTAACGTGCATATAATTGGCATGTGAGCTCCAAATAGTCATGCATTACATTTTTTTGTTTTAACTTTCAGAGCTTTATGACTAATCCGTTGGTGACTTTTTAGCGACATTATTGCGTGCGTCCATGTGTGTGCGTGTACGTGCCTGTGTGTATGTCTTTGTATTTGTATGTTAGGTCGACTCAGCGTCAAAATGAGTACATGGTGCGGCGGTGTGTAAACATCGACATTAGGGAGACAAAAGCAGCCGGGCATAGTGCTAGCCACTCACCCCCCTCGTGTGCCATGCCAGCCTTCATAGGTGCTTGCTAACAGCACTTGTTCCTACAGTCTGTTAAGGCTACACGGGGGATCTTTGGCTTGTGTTTGTGTGGGGAGCGGTACTACTGTAGTTAGCACACTGCGCTACGCACCCGGCAACTTGAGTTATATCCCTGGCCATGGCTAGCATCAGTGGTGAATATATGAACTAATCCCAGGCCTCCGCTAGGTCTACTCATACTTAAAGAGTACCTGATGCGGTGGGGCATGGTGACAAAAGGCAGCTGGGCTTGGTGTTAAGTGACATATGTGCTTGCTAACAGAATTTGCCCCAACAATCCGTTACGGCTGCATGGGGGGGGGGTCTTTGTCTTTGCGTGGTGTTGGTTGCGCGTGCAGCTGCTCTCGACTGGAGGATCTTCCTTCGGAGCAGTGGACCCACACGACCGTCCGAAACGCACTACGAGAACTCCTCCGGGAGATGAACCAGAGCGCCCTCGCCAAAGAGTGCCCCCTCTCCCAGGTACGTTGGATTGGTGCACATTGAAGTAGAAGGCGCCTTGCAAATCAATGTAAATTATTATTATTATTTAGTTTGTTGTCCTCCCCCCGCACCTCCGATTAGCACGGTTCGCTACGTACCTTGCGAAAGAAGTTTAACATACGTACGTACATACGGTATTCAGACGCTGTCTTTCCGACAGACCTGTTCTTCACCTGAGGACTGCTGCTTGCGTTGTGGCCGAAACGTCGTGAGAATTGTATTTTATTATGTTTTATTTTTATTATTTTATTATTTCCCTTCCACGTGACTTTACCGAAAGAACCAAGAAGATGAATCCCTGCAGTCACGAAAGCTTTAAATCGAAATTTAGTACATACGGTACTTTACAAGTCTTCATCACAGGGGGGCTTGCAGGCGAGCATGTCGCTAAAAGCCCTGTGCGTGTGTGGTACCTGCGTTAGATTCCTAGCTTATTGTCCCATACCACAAGGTGCACTCGGGGGAAAATAAACAAAAGAATAGATTTTTCATTACTACTCCGCAAGTTTTCACAGTTGTTCCGTATAGCTCTCTCATCTATTTTTCAGCATGACGTCCGACGTTTTGCTCCGCATTATGATTATTTCAGGAACTCCCAGCACGTTGAGAGAAACGCCGCAAAGCACGCCGAACAACACTCGGCACAACCAGAAAACACATCGGAGAGCTATTTCTTTTTTTTGTACATGGGTTCTATAGCACCCCATTGCACACCGGAGCCAGGCTACAGCTATCGCTTGTGGGACCCGCGCGTCCATTTGTGGGAGATACTTCGCACCCAATGGTGCAATAGCCGCCAATCAAATGTGGTCTAAGTCGACAGCAAAACGAAACAATGTGGCAATCAGCGTGGCTGTTGAGCCAGGAAAGCTTGCGGAGCTGGCACTGTTGTGTGCCCACATGTTCTGCAATCAGATGACCTGGACAATGGGATTTAGCTCAGGTTACATTACTGGTTTAGCGCAGGATTTTCTAAAAGGTGAGTGACTTTTTTCCGACTGACCAGTAAATGAGTTTTGTGTACCACGTGGAGATGAATTAAGCCTGGTTCACAGTTAATCCAGTATCAACCAAAAAAATGAAATTTGTGACTTCAGATTTAGTAAATCATTAAGATGCAAAATAATGATATGCAAACATTAATAACTGTTAACCAAGGTAAATATTACGATATGCTTCCCAAAACATTCGTTGCATATACCTTTCAATATTTAAATATTTACTCGTTTTTTACGGAGGTTTTAAATGTTGTTAAACTCAACTCCCAGAGATGGCACAGTATGTAGCATCTTAGTGTGGATTAACATGCAGATAGCACATTATCCATCTAGCCTCCTCACATTTAGTTTAAACAAATGGAGGTATATTTCTAGCTCAAGCAGATTGTTTCACACTCATTAAGGTCTTAGGCAGGAAATTTTCCTGCCATTTTATCTAAACGTCCTTTCTGTGACATTTCACAACATTTGGTGGAAGTGGGGAGATTGTGTGAAGATCATGTTGATGTGATGCATCCTGCCAGAAGGTTTTATGGCCAATTTAAACATTAGCCATGTGCCCCACTAATACTCACATTAGGTGATTAGTGGAGCTGCTAAACAGATGTGAAAAAATGCTCGGCAAACATTTGCTGGGAAGCTCACACCATTTTTAATCAGGCTTATTGTTATATGCTGCACACTGCCAGCTCCCACAGTTCATTTCTTTCACGAACTGATTGCTGGCAAAGCCGGCAGAAATTTGGCATTTACCATAATTTCCATGATGGTGCTTTCAAATAAAAGAACAGTTTTACATTTCTTCACGTTGCATTTGAAATGTTACGTGAAATAATGCCTAAAATTTATTTATCCCTTGTTTTCCAATGCATTAAGAGTCATGTAAATGATGCCTACAATTCTGTTTATTATCAGCTATGTTTATTATTTTATCAATCTGGCTATATATTTAAACAAAAGAAATCAATGCAGTTTCTTGATTGACATTTCGCAGTAGATGTATGTTATCTCGTTATTTAAAACAGAAACACATCCAATAAAGTCCATTAAAAAATAAATTGAATTTGATTTGAGTGCTCATGATCACATTTCACAATTATCCTTAATATTATTCATTTATGAATAAAATATTGGACCGTAATTTCTTCAGGGTTTTAAAAAGCCAGCGCTAAAACCTATTCCCAAGAAAGAAAATTGGTTTTAATAATTTCATAAACAAGTTGACTTTAATTTGGACCTCCGTTAAATGTACAACACGTAAAAGCATTAACATTTAACGTATAAGTACATTTGCCGGTGCGAGTTTAGAATGATTTTGTGCGCACTGTCTCATTGTGCAGCCTGCGCATGGATGTGTGCCATGGGGGTGCATAGCCATCTCTCTCTCTTTCTCTCGAGTCAGGGCGACCTCAGATCATCGCGTGCTACAAAACCGCCGATAATTATTAGTCAATAGCACGTGATAAAGATTCACGTGCACTCTGCACACGACAGAGAAAACGATTTAACTTAGTGCCAGGTAAACGGGGAATGTCGTTTTTGAGTGCATTTCACTGCCTTGTGCTACTTGTGCTGGTATTTCTGTACGGTAATCGGTTACCTGCAGCTGTGAATCAGAGGGTCCATAAGCCTGTGGATCACGTGACAGCACCTGTGGCTCATGTGAAAATTATAATACTCAATCCGGCCTTTTCTTTCGTGAAAATGTGCACGGTGTTTTATTTTGTTGTGTGATACAAATAATGGCATTAGGTGAAGGATTACAAAAGATTCAAGCTGTCAATACACATCTAAAATGTGATTAATCATTCAGGGTGTTGTTATGAGCATCCATCCACATTTCCAAATATCATTGTCATCAGCACTAAATGCGTGAGACTATTCTGAATTGCTTCTATACAATGCTTACTACTAGAATCGTTATGTCAAATATAATCGTTTTGAATCTCTCTTCGCCAACTAAGCCAGAGTGTTTTTTTCTCTGTGTTCTAATATGTTTAATATTTATCTGGGAGTGCTGCCTGGTTAAACACATGTGTGTTGGGAGAGATGAACTAAACACTTACGTTCCTGGATGACGACCACGAAGTGTGGAGCGTTAGAGGCAATGGCAAAGCTGTTGAGCATGCGTGTGTTGCGACGCGCACTGCGGCTTGCAGGCCAGGATATGAAGTGGGGAGAAATTCCTTGCACCAGGACCCATGCCATCGCACGTTACGCCACTGGCTAGTGTTAGATGATGGGGCACTGGGTACATTATAGTGTTTAGCGCTAGAAAGTGGGACAATTGGTCCCCAATTGTTTAAATGCCAGGGTGTGACAGGGAAGTTGGGAACAAACCGGCGTTTGGTCACACCCAAAGCGGACTATCAAAAATAATTGCTGTTCCCCGCTTTATTAAACCGCATGCAAAGAGTGTTTACAGATGTTTTCTTACATTTCAAACTTTTAATAACGTATGTAAAAACGTGATATTGTATCTGTGTGTGTTTAGTTTTTTTAGACATTTTAAAAAATTCTGTTTAATCATACCGATGTTATATAATGGCACAAAACATGTTAATTGTCTTCCAATTAAGAAAAATGTTTACGTGTACAATACAGCACATGGGCATATTTACTTTAATAATAATTTTCATAAGCAAGGGTGGAGTGGTAATGCATTGGCTGATGTACCCCACTAAAAAGCCTGCTGCCTGAGTTCAATTCCATGCCACAGCTAACAACAGTGGATAGTGTATATCTGAGCCAGTCCTGGGCACCCTCCACCCCTTCACCAACCCACAATGGCCAATGTGGTGAAGTATGGTCAAACAATTCCTATGAGGCCTTCATCCAGAAGTGGATTTACAAAACGTTCATGTTTTTGTTTTGTTGCGGTTGCATCCGAGTCAAGAGCCACATGGCTCACAGGTTTATACCTAATAAATGAAATGAAACTGAAACATAACTCGTGATTTTCTTAATTTGCCAAAAATTACAAGGCAATATTTCAGGTTTGCTGGAAAAATACACACTAATGAGGATGACATTTCGGTATGGGAATTTGATGCATCGCAGATAGATATGACCATTGTTAAAATGTTTTATATGCCGCTCTGAGACACATGCTCTGCAGAGGAGTTGCAACTGCTTAAGTTGCAGCCTTCGTAATTGTGTACTAATGCAATAAAGTCCTTGCGTGCTTGCATGATAAACTAATTGAGAACAGCCCCAGTTGTGCCGGTGCTGACAAACTGGTGCTTATGGAATTGGCAGTCAGCAGGTGGGGAGATCAATTATGTTTGTGCTTGTGTAAAATTACCACCATAATCTTCCCACAGAGTATGATCTCCTCCATCGTGAACAGCACTTACTACGCCAACGTCTCTATGGCAAAGTGCCACGAGTTTGGACGATGGTACAAGCACTACAAGAAGTACAGAGGTATGTTCTCTTAGACCTTTGTGCTTGTGAGGATGTGCACAATGCACTTGGGGTAGTGTTGCGGTTTAGCGTGCTGTGCTACGGAACCAACGACACGATCTTCTTGGTTCTTTCGGTAAATAAAACATAATAATATAATATTTTATTTTTATTATTTTATTATTTCCATTCTACGTGACTTTACCGAAAGAACCAAAAAGATGAATCCCTGCAGTCACGAAAGAAGCTTTAAATCGAAATCCCACGACACGAGTTCGATTCCTACTCACGGCCAGCACCAGTGATGATTATCTGAATCGGTCTTGGGCCTGCTCTGGTCGACTCGGCCTCAAATGAGTACCTTGTGCGATGTGCAAACATCAGCACTGAGGCGGGGTGCTGGCCACCCACAACCTCGTGTGCCTTGTCGGCCTTCATAGGTGCTCGCTAACAGCACTGGCCCCTACAGCCTGTTAAGGCTACACGGGGGATCTTTGTCTTTGTATGCACTTGGAGTGGAACAAGGGTTGCCATCCATGATATTCAAAAATAATAGGGTATATCATGGCAAGAAGGCTATGTGCATTGTCTTGAGGAGTGTATTATTATGTAACTGACAAAAAGTGAGCTGTAATGTTCTGGTAAAAATACAGACTTCCTAGGACAGCCACTTCAAAAAGAGAAAAACCCTGGCTTAAATAAGGACAGGAGGCAACCCTAGGTAGGAAGATTATCTATTCTCCTCCCATCCACCCACCCACATTTTCCCACCACACCGGTGATTCAGCAGAGTGTTGTGCTTCTGGATCAGGATTTCATAAAAAAAAATATATCTAATATATATGTTACATGCCAGTGAAGTTGCTTTAGGGATGAAAGGAACCCGTGACATACAACATGAAAATATATGCTTTATTCTGCATACAGGTTTCCCTCGCTTTATGTGGTAGATACATTCTGAAAAAGGGCGCACAAAGCGAAAGAGCACGAGACAGCTGTCTGACGAGTAGTGCCTAAAGTACACGCACAATGTTGTCCCACGTCCGACTGCATAGCCGCATATGAGTGACTTTGAACTGCATAGAGAGAATTTTGGGCAAAAGTAAGTTAAACCACACGTATGCGACATCGCACAAACTGAACCTGTACATCGCCAGGTTATGAATCGATATTGATTTAACCCCTCGCATGAATGTGAATGGCTTTTGCTAACAGTCATGGTTATTTGTGATTGACATCAATCACAAAGTAAAAAAAATGAAAAGGTCGTTATGAACATTATGCAAAAAACATTTGAATCAGTTGGTTCACTTATAATCGTGAGATTAGTGGTTGCAGATCGCTGTGTTATAGTCTTTGAACTTGATAAACTAACTGCTTTCTTATCATAAACATTGTATCCTCAGCCAATCAATGTTTCTGTCATCATCTCCTATCGGGGGTTATTCTGGCTCCAACAATATCACATTAATCAGTTTACGTTTTGGGAGAGTAGAAAATAGTTTTTAGACGCACACTGTACGAACTTCTCGACGCACAGAATTACCACAAAGCTATGAGTGCATATCCAGGTGGTTGAGTGGCCTAGGAGTATCAATATGACCATTAAAAGCACTGGATACATTCCTTCGTTGACTTTCTTGTAATAGTTTGCCTCAAAAATCATTGCCAGTTAAAATTTCAGGCGCACATCTCCTAGTCTGAACCATTTTAAACGAAGTCTCGTCCCCATATCATTCAACTCAGAAAAACATCTGACTTGCCTCTTTGAAATGTAAGGTCTTCTGCATTCCAGTGTCATTGGGAAAACAAAACGATAGAAATTACTGGCAATGTTCAGATTGCCCACTAGGAGGGGAAATGGTGTCTGTTGTACTAATGCGACGTGCAATTCTGTATCATCCGGGGTCTGTAAAGCATCGGCACGAGACCGTAGATGTGACTTAGGCTCCACGTACGAATTACTCTACATGCTAAATCACAATCGTAAATATATTTCCTGGTTCAAGTTACGTTTATGAGTTCCATACCATGAAAATGAGAAAAAACGCGCTATCACTTCAATCTCAATGTGCCTGCGATACAAAACACATTGTAATGATTTCAGATAATCGATCATGGCAAACCAAATTCATGTTATTCACATAACACTGCCAATTGTGTACATGTAATACAAATATTGTACTAATGCTTCGAACCATAAAATTAACACATTTACGAGAGCTGTCAGTTTAAATGTATGTCAGTCGGGGAGAGTTATGGTAAAAATCACAAAATGTTATAGTGCATGCCCAGGTGTGGTCAATGTTTCAACACCTGCTTTTCACTTACAAGCTTACGTAATATTTCGCGGCATTTCATATCACTTCCGACCGATGTAATATTCGCGAATTACAACTCGATCCACGGATTGCGATCGAGCGAAGTTCGAATGTTTCACGAAAACTTTGCGATCGCAGCATCAACTCAATGAGAACTGCGCGTGTCAGTAACAACACGTGTTTGTTGCGACGCTTTTAGCCAGAGCAGATGGACAAGACATGATGTCATTGGCAAGGCTGTCAGGGAAGGACAAACGCCAGCCCCAGCCCCAATCATCATCAGCACTTGTCGGGCGGCAAGGACCCAGCCTCACCGCGGCAGCTCACGCCCACGCAGCTCTCGCCGGGCCAGACACCGCACCTCGCGCAGTCCTCCCCGGGTCCTCCCCAAGGCCTCCTCCCTCCGCCGTCTTCCCAGCTGCGCAGCCCGCTGTCTCCGTTGCAGCCGCTGGTTGGACCTGGCATGATGCCCCCGCAATTGGTGAGCCAGCAGATAGCCATGGCTCAGTTCCTAAACCAGCAGCTGGCGGTCAGCAGGCTCCTCGCCCACCAGCAGCAGCATCACCACCAGCAGTTCCTCAACCACCCGCCGCCACCGCCGGGCTCGCAGGGAGTGCCTCCGCCCGGCGCGTCCATGGGCTCCACCGTGAGGGCCTTCAGCAAGGGCTGCGCCGGCGAGATGCCCAACTCGTCGTCGGACGTCGGCCTCGACATCTACCAGCGGGTGCGCGAGGAGCTCAAGCGCGCCAGCGTCTCGCAGGCCGTGTTTGCCCGCGTCGCGTTCAACCGCACGCAGGTGAGTGGCGTTGTGGTGAACGGGGTCCCCCCACATGGCGCTTGCAGACAAAGAAAAAAACACAGCCAGTGAGTCGCAGTGAGATCAGTTTGCCTGAAGCTGCGACACAACCATTGCCAACCAACGGTTGGCGTAGCCTGTTGAGTGTGCAGGCGGTGCAACTTCACCAGGGCCCATGGGCCGGAGTGACTCAGATGCCAAGATAGAAAAAGGGGGGCAAATTGGACAGGACACCCCCACCCCGTATATAATTCCTTGCACCAGGGCCCATGCCAACCACGCTACACCTGCTTGACCACCAGACAATGCAAAATGGGTAACATTGGATTTGCTTTAGACGTCACTTTAAATTACTTTTCTTTGGATGCCTCGTGAACATTTATGTTCATTCCTGGCCTAGCTTCTGGAAGTGTGTATCAAAAGAAGTAGATCATGAGTCCAAATATCAAACTGGAAGACTCTTAAGTGATGGACAAAAAACACATTTGGATCGCTTCATCTCTTCAGAAATCTCAACATCCGTATGCCTGCATCTGTCTCAGGGTCTGCTCTCTGAGATACTCCGGAAGGAGGAGGACCCAAAGCTGGCGTCCCAGTCTCTGCTGGTGAACCTTCGTGCCATGCAGAACTTCCTCAACCTGCCCGAGGTGGAGAGGGACCGCCTGTACCAGGAGGAGCGCGAGAGGAACATGAACCCAGCCGGGGTGATGGCGGCCAGCAGCATAATGCAACCTGGCAGGAACTTCTCACCACAGGTAGCGCTTCTGCTCCCACTCCTGTGAGCCCCGTAACCCACAGTTCATTGCTGTGCTAAAATTTCCATAGGGCATGGGGTCCCCTTAGGCTTACTTTCACTCAAGTCAAACTATGTCCCCTTATCCAAGCAAGCATGTGGCTGTGCTCACCTCCCAAGCAGGTGATGGAAATTCCACATTCCCATATTAGAGACCAGTCTCTTCATACAACAACCACCGTTGACTTCTGCAAAGTGGCACAATTTGTTGTTTATGCTGGGCAATGTGGACCCCTGACCAGGATTTTAACTTATGACCTTGCAAGTGGGAGTGTTCTGCCACAGTTGGCACCTTCGCCAACCCGTGTGATGCCGACCATTTATCTTCAACTGTGCTTTCCTCTCAAGAAGAAACTCCTTTATGTCTAGATGAAGCCCAGAGTACACAATGCTGCAAAGTATAAAGTCATTTTATTGCAAGGGTTTAGTGATCAGATGAATTCGTTGACATTTATTTTGGCAACTGCCGAAAGAGGCTTCTGTTGAAACTGAAATTCAACAGAGACAACTCAGTCCAGGACCCAGAAAGGATGAGCTCAGGCCTGCAAAAGTCACCAGATGCCAGATAAACATTTGTCATGAAGAAATGAAGCAATTTCTGCACGACGGCAATCTACACCGTAAAGTTTCACGTCACCCGTTTGCAATGGTGCCTGCCAAAGATTCTTGTCAACAAAGGGTCATAATCCATTCCAAATTTGGTCAGGTAATGGGGATAAAAGATAATCACAGGCTGAGGAAGAGTCCTCAGTTCTTCTGGTGCAGGTGCGGAGGATGCTTCATTGGTATGCTGCGCAGGACCGACTTGTCAGCGACAAACATACTGCAAGCAACAGCTGTCGCCTGCAAAGAAGCCTTAAAGAACAAATGTCCAAAGCTGCACGAATGTCTGTCCGCGTTAGCCGGAACAGTTCTGCACTGAGGGGTACGTGCACGCTCACGCTCCGTGGGTACCCTGTCCGATTTCTGAACACAGACGATCGTTCGAGATGGTGTGGAACAGAGGTTGTTAAACCTTCGTTAGGTTGAAGACCCCTTAGGCGTTGGAATCTTCCCTTGAATTTGCAGAAAATCCCTGCAGTCCTCGTCATAGCAAATGGCGTTCACTTATCGTTTACGGGGACATTGCAGCCTGCGTCTACGACTATACTACTGGTTGAGCCAGACGAGCAGGGGATAGGAAGGGCTTGCCAAACGTGCAGATCTGTATTTGTGCATCCCTGACTCTCCATCACCTTGCAGACCACCTGCAGACCCTTTTGGATGTTTGCAGACACTTGCCTCTGGGGGTTGGAGCGGTGGCACAGTGGTGAGGGCACTCCACTAAGAGCGTGACCGGCGAATGATAGCTGGACTTGTCCTGGAGCCCCCCACCCCCCCCCCCTTTTTTTACCAACTCGTACTGACAAACGTGGTGAAGTATGATCGTAAACCCCAATGATGTGATCATGGTGTGCGAAGGCCTTCATCCAGCAGTGGACTGACAAACAGCTGTAAATTATTCTCAGTATAATAACTACTTGAGAATCCCTTCTGGAGAGCATCTTATTGATTGATGTAGGTTCTCACATATATTTAGCAATGTAGCGCATGCTGTTTCCTCTCCACATTGTGTTTTTTTTACTTTGAACATTTATTGGAAAGCTAACACAGGTGTTGATAATCCATCTTGTTACAGTTACAGACCATTAAGAAAGCAAATGAAGTATTACAGGAGAAGAATGGGGGCTGACACAAGAAAATTTCAGCCAACCAATTCCAATGTTTAAAATAGCCATAATTTCACTGAATGTTTTTGTTCATTAAATGTATAGATAATTATAAATATATTGATACATTATATTCAACCTACATTGCCCCAAATGCAGGCGTGGCAGTCGAGTGGCATTGTCTCATTGTAATTCCTTCATTCGGTGTTGTAATGATAATAACCCTAAAACTTCATGTCTGATGAAAATAATAAACATTCTAAGATTCATGTTTCTTCATCAAGGAAAATAACCAGTCGAAAAATGAAAGTAAAATAATAAATGGCAACACTATAACTGACAATAATGCCATCTTGAAGCACTGAAAAATGCTACACAAATCTCCCTCACTTGTTTTAAAAGTTGTGCGTGCTTTTGAATGGATCCCAATTATGATGTGTGCGTGTCACGGATCTTGCAAAGGTTAATGTAAACTGTACGTGTACCGTCATGATGTGTGTGTGTGCAGACGAAGCCGTTTGCCATGCCCCTAGAGCACTGCGTGAAGATCGAAGATGGTGTGGGCCAGGGCATCACAGCCATCATCTACGATGAAATCCAGCAGGAGATGAAGCGCGCCAAGGTATCGCAGGCCCTCTTTGCGAAGGTGGCAGCAATGAAGAGCCAGGTGAGGGGCTTTTGAGAATGTCATAATGCAGACACAAAGTGGATTATCATGAGTAATAGGCAACCTGTGCAAATTTTTGTACGAAATGAAAATAATCTACGAAATTGTTGTGTATGTATGCATGCTTACATGTCAACTATAATTCAACGTTTTGTTGTTTCGCAAGATGAAATAGGATTTAAAAAATATATTAAATATAAGAAAATTACTCTGTAGGTTTTGTACCGCGTGTTGTTTGGTGCGAGGAACTTGATTTAGTTTCCCATGAAGCTCCAGCACACTCAGAGAATCTTCTGATATCAGGCGACTGGTGCAGGTAACTAAGCAGGAAAGGTCATCCATGCAGAAATTCACCCACAGTAAATCCATTCTAACCTCCATTATCCTGCTATGTGCTATTAACCTGAAATTTTAAATTGACTAAGACAAGGGAGATTAATTAATTAAATTACCTTACTGTTCCTACATATGAAAGAGTTGACCTGGATTGGCAATTGCAGTCAACATGACAGGTTTTATTCCTTTAAATCAGAGACGTGAAATGTGACTAATGTAGCAGCAGCAGCAAGAAAATGACAACGGGTGATCCTGGGAATGGAGGTTGCGTGGTTAGTGTCGTCATTAGTTTAGCAGTTCATTCACTAATTTCAGCGTTTTTAATGCGCATGTAGAGAGAGGTACGTGGGTGAATATTGTCCAGGAGCAGCAAAGTATTTAATGTCTATGTTTTATGCCTGTTAACATATCCACGAGAAATATATTAATCAATGAACATATGCTTAATTATTACCACATGCGTAAAGTAATAAAGTTGGTTGAATGATTCAATAAATTTAGCTTGAAATATAAATAGCCAAGATTATTTTAAGCCATGGGTCAAACTTTACTCTTCCAAAATAAGGGATGAGTTGGTAAAACATAATTTGTCATAGGTTGAAGCTATTAAGCCAAAATCTCAACCAAAGTCCTTCCTTTTACAATTATTTATTTTGAATGGATTTCTATTTTGTTTCTTCTTGTTTCATAATTGTAGGGCTATTGCGAGGTTCACGTCTCTGGATACTATGTCAAAAAATATAGAATCACTTCTGGTGCTGTGATTTTATACAGATGGTTTATCTCACTCTCATAGAATTCACTCAATTGTTAATACAAGTACTGAGGTGTATCCGCTTTGCAGTCATCTAACATCAAATGTCAGGCTTTCAAGCTGAAGTGGATATATTATTTGTAGATACAAGCTTCTGCAACATGAAAAATAAATCACTGGGCTCTTGACCCATACTTAGTCTCCTTCTGGGCGTGTACAATCTCTGGCAAGCTTCTTTATATTCACACACGATTTGCAGTGGAGTAAAATGTTTGTGCCGTCACTTGTTCTCAGCTTGCTACTAGCATAGCTTGCCTGGCATCGGCTCTGATGCTAGGAATGCAATGCCCCCCCCCCCCCCGCTCTATCACCCTCTCTTTGTCGCCTGGAACCTTTGCCCGTTCGGCATGTGGTGCCGTAGTGCAGCTGCACTGCCTGCACACTTCACAGCTGCACCACTGCGCCCATGTCGAGATGAGCATGCAGTACTGTGGGCGGTTTGTGAAACACGCTTGTCGCGGGCGAGATTCACAGTGGCGACAGCAAGACTTTTTCACACCACGTAGGGACAATATTGTATGTCGATGCCTTGAAATACAACTGTGGGTATGAGACTATATTTCCAACATATTTATGTCAGTGATGTGGCCCCTAGTATAAAGATTTTTTCATGGTTTGTTCCTTCTGATGCACTTGATAATTGCATGTTTGTAATTATAAAGCTTGTCTAATAGTCTTTCAAAGGTATTATTAACTTTCGAGACCCACTTTTTATCAGCCTACCTCATTCCTGAGCGTTGACGTTGTTTCACCATCCCCGTCTTGATGTTGGCACGTATGCTCGCTGGTTTTTTCTTTATATCACAGGAGATACACTCTTATTGAACACGACACATACGTGTTGTATCGCTAAACTATAAAAAAAAAAACATCGGCAGTGATGCATGTAGCGTGTAGCATCACTGTATTGTAACTTGAATGCGACTTTGAAAAGCGGTGTTTATCCAATTTTGTGCTTTAATGCACCTGAATAAGCGGCATCATTTTAAAATTAATTGTGGAAACAAATTTAATAGTAATACCACAATTATAGGAAACATGCTAATTATGGTATATTACATGTATCTAAAAGGTGAGCCGTAATACGCATTTTCAGGTTATATTGGACAACTTTCATGTTGCAATTGTGCACTATTTTACTGTTTTTCTTTCAGACAGATGAGATAACATGTAGGTGTTTATTTTTTTGCGCCTAGCATTACTAATTTAAGCTCTATAATTTTGGACAATAAATTCGTCATTTGCACTACTTTTATTTTTTTTAAGATGAAAAAGGTGCGAATGAGCATGAGGAGGTTATGGGAGACACGTACTTGGAAGTGCACTGACAGGCAGGAAGAGCAACTCATGGATCAGGGAACAAACGCAAATCCGATACATCACATTGACGATTGGGGAACGTGAGCGGGCTGGGGCAGAGGACGCATTTCGCTCAGAGAGACGTTGGCCGATGAACATGGCGAGTGACAGAATGGCAGCCAAAGGAGAGAATCGTGCCGAGATGGAGCGATGAGATCAGCTCATGCGCAGGAGCGAGATGGACCTGTGGCGTCGCACGACGCCGAGGTGATACCAACGGCACGGGAAAGCCGTCAATCAGCAGTGGATAGAAACTGGCTGATGGCTACGATCCATTTCGTTTTGCTGTAACTGAAGTAGCATGCTTATGAAATTGCCCCCCAATACAACAGTTGCTCAAATGTCACCAAGTATCGCTCTGTGTTGGCGAGTTGTGGCAAAAGTGAAACTTGGCGCACCTTCAGTGTGTTTGGCTTAGTTAAGCACGGTGTCTGTTGGAGTGGTTACTGCTTGTGTGTGTGTATATATCGCATTCACATGAACCGTGTGAACATCACAGTTTCAATTGTCATTTGAAAATTAACACAGCACTGTGGTGGTATGTGCAGGAATGGCGTAGCCTCACGTCATTATGCATTGACATTTGGCTGAGGCAGAGTCAATGACTGATATACAATGAAATGTAATGTGAAAAATAGCAACAAGAGCCTCAACATTGATATTCACACGCTTCTCAACCTGTGCACATTTCTTAACATTTCTTCCACCACACGCAGCTGCGGTAAAATGCCTGCAAACCAGACGGGACTTATTTGTGTATTTGAAGTTACGGCGTTTTGGCTTTCCACGAAGCACTTGTCGAGGGCTTCTCGCTCGTATAGTTCTTATTTAACCAACACCGAAATCAAGAAGCAATACGCCTGCATTCATAGACATATATGCTTTGCATCGTTATTGTGTGGCGCGGTACCGATTGTAGGCTGCGATTTCGCTGAAGGCTCACGTGCATTGCCTCTAATTTCTAGCGGCGCACTTGAACAGAACGGCATTCCATGCATGGCAGGAAGAGCGGCGTTTAAGTGCAGCGAGTTTCTGCACCTACTCCCCTCCCCCATCCCGGCAGCACGACGCGTTAGTGAGGTGGGCCGTACAAAGAAGCATTACTACTAATCGTCTCAGTCATCCCAATCTCCGGGCAATCCTGGGATTAATGAGGCAGCAATTAGCACGAGTCAATATCACCTTCGTTATTAGATGGGAGAAATAAATATTCTATTAAAGGCGTCCCCAGGGGAGCCCAGTTCACTGTGTCACTGCGACGCTGTAATTAACTTTAATTTACACGCACTGGCAGCGAAGGTCAGTGCTCTCGCCACAAATTACTCGCCGATTCTGTTCGAGCGCGGGACAGGCACGGAAAATGACAACATTCAATATCCCATTATCATGCACAGTCTGCAGAACCATGCAGCTCGGTTTGCAGTATGACAGATTTCTTCCCCGGTAATTGAATTTTTATTTTCATGTTCATGTGTTGATGCTTTCTGTGTTTTTGTTTTTGTGCGATCGGACTTGTGCATCGTTTTTTTAATACCATACTTATTTTTTATCCGTAACTATGTAAGTTTGTATAGCTCCTAAAACATTAGTTGACTGATTGCTTGTAAGCTTTATCTTGTAGAGCATGGTTTTCGATGGAAGAAGCTAAACCTATTGAAGAAGTTTATAAATAGATGAACTTTGCAAACATAGGAATGCTTATTACGGATGGTGTTTGAAATAAGCGACACATACAACACGGTTATGATCTACAAAAGCGTTTGCGTAACAGCATTTAACACGCAGGTAAACATCGCTGCAACATCATTGTGTGTTGTGTGCCGATAAATATGGATAATTGGAATATTGGGGTAATTAATTTACACTTTAATTGGCACATATGAAGGACTTCAATGTTGTCCTTTCTGGAGAAATGGCATTAAAAAGTTGCAGTTTGTTAATTCCTTATGCAAGCAAGAGTCATGCTTTTTATTATTGTGAAATCATTCTGCGAGAGTCAGTAATGGGGAATTAACATATTCCAATTAAAACTGAAGTTCAGAAGCTAAGAAAGGAAGAACAAGTACACACATTTATGCTCTAATGGCAGAGGTACACAGTGAGGAAGTATAGCATGTGTGGTGGGGTCATAAACGAGCGTTAATTCTAGAAGTTATATAGTAAGTGGGCTCATTTGCTCCTGAAACATTGCTTTGCACTTTTTTCAAATCTACAACTTACTTAGCCGGTGAATTACTTGTTTCCGTAAACATATCTACTTGAGGAAAAGAAAGTTCAAAATATCCACGTAGTGGGGAGCGGTAGCGTAGCCAGTGACTTTTATCTGTACCGGTCCTGGGCCTCCCCTAGGTCGACTCAGCCCCAAATAAGTACCTGGTTGCAGTGTGTACAATCTCTCCCGACTGGAGAGACAAAGGTGGCAGGGCGTGATGCTGACCACCCACCCCCTCGTGTGCTCGCGAACAGCACTTGCCCCAATAGTCGGTTACAG